CAAGTACTGGGCACATGGACATAAATAATCACTTATCTGGCCCCTTAGCCCAGGCATGCCAGGAACTGCTTATCTGCACAGCTTGCTGGAGGCCTAAACAGTTGATGAATGTTAATTAAGTAATTATGAATATTTAACAGTGCATGATTGTAACTTACCATATCACAAGAGATGGCTTGATTGTACTTGGTGCAGGCCCAGTAGTTAGTGTGGTTAAACAAAGCGTGGATGTAAAGGTATGGCAGTGCTAGGGAAGAAGACAATGAGAGCACCTGGCCTGTGGTGGATTCAATGAAAGTAGGTGTAGTGACCCCCCGACCTGGTGGCAACACCACTACCCAGAAGTGAAGGTGCGCTTCTGTGTAGTCTCCCGAACTGTTGACCCGCGCTTCCTGCAAGACACATGAGCATTCCACCAGTCATTTTCAGTTGTCACCTCACAGAATATGGGCATGGAGATCTGCTAGTCTGTTACTTCACCTCAAACCCTCACTGTGTAGCAATGAGAGGTCAACTGATATAGTGTTTTTTGTGTGTGTGTGTGACAAACCAATGGGTTTATAACATTGGGCTCATTTGTTTTTTTTATTGTTTCTTTTTCAATACACTTGGTTCTAGTTATTTTGATTTATGTTCAGTCTCTATTCGATTTGATTTTAATTACCCTATCTGCATTTTTTTGTATGCATCGTACTCTTGGTTTCATTTGTTTTAGATTTCCTGATGATGGAGAAAGTATCTCCGAAACTGTCACTACCCAAGAAATCATGATGTTTTACCAAGTGCTGGTTTTACGATTCATTATATGTCTCCATTTCCCAAGGGATATATCTGTTGCAACTACAAATCAAAATATCGTATATCAGGTTCATTATAACATGGGCTTCAATGGGATATGTTCCTGGCCAGTCGGACACCCAAATATATCACCGATAAAAACAAAATCCTAGAATACTACTAGCACTACAATAATATAAAACAACACTCACCACATCATTAAAAACAAGTCAAGTCATCATCACATATCCCCCTTGAGGCTGAGGGGACTCTTTTTAAAGTGGAGTGGAGACATCAACCTGAGTCCTACACAGACTTTAGGGAGTTGTAACTGGAGTTGTAGCCTGTCCTGGCCTTGAAGATGATGAGCAAAATGCTTGCCAGACATTTTCAGAGTTACACTGCTCACTCCAGTCATAAAAACACGATAACAATAATGGAGAGTCAATTCTCTTAAGAAAAACGTAAGAAATGTTGCAATGGAGGTGTGGTAGGGAATTATTGGGTCTCTTGGTCTGAAAATGTCTCGAATAAAGATGAAAGCTAAGTAGCAAATATATTGATGGCTAGCAAAAAAGTTTATAAACTTTTATTCACAACATTTGCTCTATTTGTGTTACAAAATGGATTTGGTACCATTACATATATGGAGATGTGTTCCTCATGATGTGGTCTCATATTACTGACTTATTGATGCTATGTCAGGTCACCCATTGTCGGGTTGGGGAATCAGAGCGAAAGCACTTTACAGTCACTTAAAGTACAATGTGAACTTAAGTGATGTCCTCTCGCTGTTAGGTAAAAAAAAAACATCGAAGATGACTGATAAACATTGAGCTCCATTTCTTACACACATGTAACCAAGAAGAAACAATGCCTGGACTGTAGTTCACAAGATGACCACGAGGCAGTGTTTGGGTAGATGATACCTCAGTTGACAGATGAAGTGAGTGATGTGTTCCATATGCTGCTTGGCAGGATGACAAATATCATTAATGCGAGTTTGTTAACATCACGAACAGGGAAGTGGTCATAATATATCAGCATCACTAGTGCAAATTACAGTAGATTGGGATACTGTATCATAAATAGCAAAATAGTGGGCATTCTCTTACCAGGGTTTGTATGTCCTCTATGTCGCCTTCCTGCTGTTGCTGCTGCTGCTGAAGCTGGGCAGCACGTCGGCGCCGTGCTCGCTCTTCCATGATGAGAGCATAATGACTCCTCAAGTCGGGTGGGGACCTTACACTATACTTGGAGGACGTCACCTCTTCCTGTTCTCCACCCTCCTGCCACAAGTTTATGTGATTTAGAAATCTATTTAACTTCATACATGCGTAGAAGGTATAATTTAATGTATGAAAGAAGATATGCACAGAACAGCATATATATACAGTAATATCTCCGTTACCTGGAATCACTCTTAACCGGAAGTCTTTGATACCCGGAATTGGAACTTTTTTAGAATTATCCAGAAAATTACGGGTTTGGAACGATTTTCTAAGGAGCACATTCAATGGAAAATTTTGAGAAAATTGTCCTGGTACCCAGAAAATTCCAGGGATGGGATATTTTTATTTTCGGTTTTGGGAGATGAAAATTGGGTCTATTTTCCATAAATTTCGCAAAAAAATTTCCGGTAACTGGAAAATTCCGGGGATGGGGGATTTTTTCTGGGTTTGTGAGATGAAATAATGCGTCATTCTGGAAAATGCCCTAAATTATGTACTGTACAACTAACCGTTTCAGCAGAAATTTAATTTTATATGTGGATAACAGTTCATTCTTGTACAGTATATGTGTCAACCAGTATAGCTAAACCATAAGTGTATTCATACATAATCAACTTGCCTCCTGCTGATGCTCGAGGTACGGGCAGGGTAGGTGAGAAGTATCTCGGGCGACAAGTGTGGGTTGTGCTGATCCCTGGACAACGGGGCATGGTACCCTGCACCCAGCAACACAGATGCTACCACCAGCGCGCACTCTGCCCCGCTACCCTCCTGGGCTTTCACTACCACTGCTGGTGAACGTACCCTGGTTGGCTGACACATAAACTCTCGTCATCAAAGACCATACCTTGCATGGCTGACAGATCAACTGTTAGTAAACTCACCAATAATTGATATTTATTGACAATGAAAATTCAACCTGCACATAAATCAGTGGGTTGGTATTAGCCTGAAAATTTTGGGATCTGCCATTGTTGACCTTTGTAAAACTTGGACAAAAAATTAGCTAAGAAATTGATGAAAGTTTCACTCCTCGTTACTGTTGTGAACTGCATTAACACTGATTTAGGTTAGGTTAGTGATGACTTAAGTAACACTGGGGCTCAACATTGACTCACACTCGTTAGAACATTAATGATAGGTCAAACAAGGTCATTAACACATCTTTCCAAAATGCAGTTTTGCCAAATATAAGACCACAAAGAATAATTGAAATATTGTTGTTACAGTGATGAAGTTGAAGACATTTACCGTATCCTCTTTGCCTGTGGTCAGTTCACCAACTAGTCAGCCTGGTATTCTAAGGCACTTTCACAAACAAACACACAAACTAAAATAAACAATACAGTAATTATAATAATTCTAACAAATTAAAACAAAAAGTTATATCAGTTGTACTGTACTGTACTGTATTTATTTCTGGTCAGAGGAATGCTGACCATTTATGAATTAAAACTTCTCAGGAAAGTCAAGCACATTAACCCTCCCCCCAATGCTGTTTACAGTATCATGAGTAAGTCAGAACCCCATAGGGAAATCAATACTTTTACTACCAATAATTCCAGCTTATGCCCAGATGAGTCCCTGGTGTACTGTACATACAGAAGGGAACTTACTCTTGCATCTTTAACTTGCCTACAACTAATGTTTCTGTATTTTGGAGATGAAGAATGTGTTGGTGGCACAGCTGCAGAAAAGTGTTCCTACACCCCCTGTGGTAACCCTTGTCTCCAAACTGCACCGTCTCAGAAGTAGAATCACTATTTATGAATGAATGGGTATTGGTTATGTAACGACAGACGTGATCGTTGGATAGGTTTGTTATAGGTCATATAGGCTGGCCTTTTGGAGACATGGGTTACCACAAGGTGTGTAGGAACACATTTCCACAACTGTACAGTGGTAATGCAAGTATCTCTCATTACAGTCCTGTACATTACTATGTTCAAGTCCTGGCCCAAGACATTTGTGAGAAGAGTGTTATCCAGTGAGATCCTACCACACGTCACAGGCTCCTCCAGGAACTCCTGCACCAACACTGGGCAATAAAGTTCATAACAAAAATAACAAAGAACAGACCAACCACTCAAATGACCAGTAAATACACACTACAGGTGCATGATATACACACACAATACACACACTACAGATTGCATGATATACACACACAATACACACTACAGGTGCGCAGTATACACACAATACACACTACAGGTACATGATATACACACAATACACACTACAGGTGCATGATATACACACAATACACACTACAGGTGCATGATATACACACAATACACACTACAGGTGCATGATATACACACAATACACACTACAGGTGCATGATATACACACAATACACACTACAGGTGCATGATATACACACAATACACACTACAGGTACATGATATACACACAATACACACTACAGGTGCATGATATACTCACAATACACACTACAGGTGCATGATATACACACAATACACACTACAGGTGCATGATATACACACAATACACACTACAGGTGCATGATATACACACAATACACACTACAGGTGCATGATATGCTGGGTGATATACACACAATACACTACAGGTGCATGATATACACACAATACACTACAGGTGCATGATATACACACAATACACACTACAGGTGCATGATATACACACAATATACACACACTACAGGTGCATGATATACACAATACACACTACAGGTGCATGATATACACACAATACACACTACAGGTGCATGATATACACACAATACACACTACAGATTGCATGATATACACACAATACACTACAGGTGCATGATATACACACACAATACACACTACAGGTGCATGATATACACACAATACACACTACAGGTGCATGATATACACACAATACACACTACAGGTGCATGATATACACACAATACACACTGGGTGCATGATATACACACAATACACACACTACAGGTGCATGATATACACACAATACACACTACAGGTGCATGATATACACACACAATACACACTACAGGTGCATGATATACACACAATACACACTACAGGTGCATTATACACACACAATACACACTACAGGTGCATGATATACACACAATGCTGAGTGCATGATATACACACAATACACTACAGGTGCATGATATACACACAATACACACAGGTGCATGATATACACACAATACACACTACAGGTGCATGATATACACACAATACACACCACAGGTGCATGATATACACACAATACACACTGGGTGCATGATATACACACAATACACACTACAGGTGCATGATATACACACAATACACACTGAAGGTGCATGATATACACACAATACACACTACAGGTACATGATATACACACAATACACACTACAGGTGCATGATATACACACAATACACACTACAGGTGCATGATATACACACAATACACACTACAGGTACATGATATACACACAATACACACTACAGGTGCATGATATACACACAATACACACTACAGGTACATGATATACACACAATACACACTGAAGGTGCATGATATACACACAATACACACTACAGGTGCATGATATACACACAATACACACTGAAGGTGCATGATATACACACAATACACACTACAGGTACATGATATACACACAATACACACTACAGGTGCATGATATACACACAATACACACTAGGTGCATGATATACACACAATACACACTGGGTGCATGATATACACACAATACACACTACAGGTGCATGATATACACACAATACACACTACAGGTGCATGATATACACACAATACACACTACAGGTGCATGATATACACACAATACACACTACAGGTGCATGATATACACAAATACACTACAGGTGCATGATATACACACAATACACACTACAGGTGCATGATATACACACAATACACACTACAGGTGCATGATATACACACAATACACACTACAGGTACATGATATACACACAATATACACTACAGGTGCATGATATACACACAATACACACTACAGGTGCATGATATACACACAATATACACTACAGGTGCATGATATACACACAATACACACTACAGGTACATGATATACACACAATACACACTGAAGGTGCATGATATACACACAATACACACTGCAGGTGCATGATATACACACAATACACACTACAGGTGCATGATATACACACAATACACACTACAGGTGCATGATATACACACAATACACACTACAGGTACATGATATACACACAATACACACTACAGGTGCATGATATACACACAATACACACTACAGGTACATGATATACACACAATACACACTGAAGGTGCATGATATACACACAATACACACTGAAGGTGCATGATATACACACAATACACACTACAGGTACATGATATACACACAATACACACTACAGGTGCATGATATACACACAATACACACTACAGGTGCATGATATACACACAATACACACTACAGGTACATGATATACACACAATACACACTACAGGTGCATGATATACACACAATACACACTACAGGTACATGATATACACACAATACACACTGAAGGTGCATGATATACACACAATACACACTACAGGTGCATGATATACACACAATACACTGAAGGTGCATGATATACACACAATACACACTACAGGTACATGATATACACACAATACACACTACAGGTGCATGATATACACACAATACACACTACAGGTGCATGATATACACACAATACACACTACAGGTACATGATATACACACAATACACACTACAGGTGCATGATATACACACAATACACACTGAAGGTGCATGATATACACACAATACACACTGAAGGTGCATGATATACACACAATACACACTACAGGTACATGATGTACACACAATACACACTACAGGTGCATGATATACACACAATACACACTACAGGTGCATGATATACACACAATACACACTACAGGTGCATGATATACACACAATACACACTACAGGTACATGATATACACACAATACACACTAGTGCATGATATACACACAATACACACTACAGGTGCATGATATACACACAATACACACTACAGGTACATGATATACACACAATACACACTACAGGTGCATGATATACACACAATACACACTACAGGTACATGATATACACACAATACACACTGAAGGTGCATGATATACACACAATACACACTACAGGTGCATGATATACACACAATACACACTACAGGTGCATGATATACACACAATACACACTACAGGTGCATGATATACACACAATACACACTGAAGGTGCATGATGTACAAAATGAAGGTTACAATTTACAGTGAACAAGACAGGTTATGAAGGTAAATTGAGACAGATTATAGAGGTTATAGTGTCGGATGTGTGTGTGTGTGTGTGTGTGTGTGTGTGTGTGTGTGTGTGTGTGTGTGTGTGTGAGGCAGTTCACTAGTATGAGGGATGGTTAATGTGAAGCTTATTTCTGTAGTATGAGGGAATAAAGATTGCAGGGTGTGTGGTTGGGCCAAGGCTACAGTATACAGGACTGTCCTGCAGCTAACTCAAAAAGGCAATACAGAATACAGGGCCATTCTGTATTGACGAATCCATGACAAAACCCCAACGGACAAAACCCCAACAGTTTTCTACCGACCGACAAAGCGACGTATAGAAGCACATAACCTAACCTTACATAAAAGTGTTTTATTTTATATATGAGACTGGGGTTTTGTACGTACACCGTATTGACATTTCAGGATGGTCCTGTAAACAGCCTTTTTGAGTTCTAATTATAGTCACTTCCATATGGTTGAGCATATATACAGTACAGGTACTGTACTTTAGGGGGCAGTGAAATTTTGCTCAAAGCTGCACTCTTCAGGCATTGTTCCTTATACATATCTAAGACTCCATGCCAAATTTGAAGCTGATATGTCGAGGTTTAGTCTGCCGCATTTTCTACTGAAATTTTTAAATTTACCTACAGTACTAGCCAAACAGCCGCTGTGGCGGTGCAATGTTCTGTTCAGTGTTTATCAACTTTTTTTTCATATCTCTTATTTCATTTAACTTGTCTTGTTGCAGATGAGTATGGTGCTATGTCTATATTGATTATCAGCCTTTTCTCATTTCATTTCTCAATGTTGTGTTACTGTACTGCAATGTAGGGGAGATGGCTAGTTTAGATAATTTGACGTCACTCTATTTTGATGGTAAGAAGACCGCCACTCGTGTGATGATAAAGAATGAGAAGACCGAGAAATGGAGTTCGAGGATGATGGTGAAAGATCATTATGTCATCATGGTTGAGCCTGGCAATGAATATCTCACACATGTGACTCCCAAGACTGGACACGGAAAGCAGATTGCCAAAACTATTCACGAGTTTCTGGTGGAGAAAAATCTAACCCAGCAGCCCATTGTGTGTGTTGGTTGTGATGGAACCAATGTAAATGTAGGATCAGAAAATGGAGTCATTCATCATCTTGAAATGTTACTTGGTCACCCGCTCCATTATTTCATATGTCAGCTTCACGGAAATGAGCTGCCTTTCCGCGCAGTTTTTTATCACTATGATGGTAAACCAAGTGGTCCTGAGCATTGGCGTGGTCCCATTGGAAAGCAGATCAAGGAGTCTTTGTCTGAGCTTCCAGTTGTCGCCTTCCAGCCAGTCAGTTTCCCTGATTTCCCTGTGTTTAATGATGAAGTGGAGAAAGATCTGTCCTGGGATCAGAAATACCTGTATAGGATTTGTAAAGGAGTTATCACAGGTGTTGTTGAAGATGACTTGGCTGCTATTGAGCCAGGTCCTCCCTGTGTGTCAAGGTGGAACACCTTATGGAGTAGAATCCTCAGGCTGTATGTAGCAACATCAAGACCCAGCCATGAGTTGAAAAGAATTGTCATTACAATAATAAAGTTCAGTGCTCCAATGTGGTTTTACATCAAGATACACCCTTACGTAACACACGGCTCAAGGAACGTATTCCAGTCCCTGCTATATATGAAACACCTGAATAGTGAGGAGGAGACGATAGTGAAGAAGGCTGTCCAGAGAAATGCATACTTCGCCCACACAGATCAACTTCTTCTTGGTATGTGTGCAGATGAGGACATGACTGTTAGAGAAAAAGCTGTCTCAATGATAAGAAAAATTAGAGAGGAGAATCAGCAAAAGGAAGAATGCACTGGCAGATCTGAAGAGGAGGAGGAAGATTCTGATGCTGCTGTTGACGAGAATTTGTTAAACTATACTGATGAGGAGGGTAAAGATGGAGATGGGAATGAGGATGTGCCTCCTGTAGTCAACATGAGAAAGGTGGTGACTCCGAAACTAAAGTGGCAAGCAAAAAACTATCATTCCATGATTAACTGGAGGAATGAACTCAAGACTGAGCCTCCTTACATTGCTTCTCTGTCAAATCTACAGGTTAATGACATTCTTGAGACACCATTAGTGGTGCCCAAGTGGCCAAACAGCACTCAGGCGGTCGAGAGAGGCATAAAAGTGATGACTGAAGCTTGCACTGAAGTGACGGGATACGAATCGAGAGATGGATATATTAGGCAAAGATTATTGTCTAGGAAAATGATGCCAAGGTTCCGCACAAAAAAGAATTTCAATATGAACTTGTAATGATTTTCTATACGGTGTACCTGTAAAATAACATGTGAATTAAATCGATGTCACCCATGTAAAATTTATCATTATCCTGGAAAACATTAAATGACACCTAATTTTTGGTATACACTAAAAGTTGACAAAAAGTCGTTCGCGATGCGGCAGGGTAAGTATGCATGAAATGGCATGAAATTTTGCACAGGTGTTTGTTACAGTCATACAAACGATGCCTGAAAAGTGCAGCCTGCAACTCAAATAAAAGTGTTTTTTCCCTGCCCCCTACTGTACTTGTATGAATGACTGTATGATATGTAAGACAGTACCCCAGTATTGGGGTAATATTTAATAGTTGCCAACATCTACAATACTACTTACATATATTTAGTCTTATTATGGGGATGGAGAGGAACAATTATTTACCCCACCCACATTGGTTGTTCAAAGAGAAAATGTGGGGTAAAATACTAAAAAGAACACCTCAGCTTTCAACTTGTAAAAATCCTGAAACTATAAAAAAAATTACCTTATCAGTATTTATGTTTTTACTGTTTAGTATGTCATGGTGTTGTTTTCGGTGTTCAGAAGAGGAGGGACCCATAAACTTGAAAGTGATTCTTAACCTTTTTATAGGTTAGGTAAGGTTTTCAAAGGTTTGTTTGGTGTTCTTTTTAGTATTTTACCTAAATATTTCCCGCTACTTCAAAGCCCTGCCCACTGTAGTTGGGCTAAATACAGTATTGTACAGTATACAGTATAGTAGTTGCCATATAAAAATGAAAACTACTCAAAAACTATAAATTTCTAACAAAAATGCCGTATGTATTAGAACAAATTATTTTTATTTTTTCCCCTCTATAAGACTCAATATGTAAGTACTGTATGTGTTGGCAACACCAGTACTAAATATTAACCTGGTGGGGGGAGGGAGGGGGTGGTGTGTTGGACTTACCAGGGAGGGCAGAGGCTGGGGTGGTGTGTTGGACTTACCAGGGAGGGCGGAGGCTGGGGTGGTGTGTTGGACTTACCAGGGAGGGCAGAGGCTGGGGTGGTGTGTTGGACTTACCAGGGAGGGCGGAGGCTGGGGTGGTGTGTAGGTGATCATGTCTGACAGGACGCGGGCAGCATCTTGCATGAGAAGCAGCTGAGGATGAGGCACCCGGCTGGGCACCACCAGGCTCACCACACTTACCTGAAACATACACACAGTATTATAATATATAGTGCATCATGTCATCCCAGAAATGAACGAAAGTGACCCTATTAAAAATTCCTACCTTTCTATCATCACTAGTTAATTGTCATATTTGATTCTGAAGTGATAGCAAAATACAGTTGTGTAGTGTAGTGTAGTGTGTGTGTGTGTCTGTGGTAACTTCATGTACAGGTAGTTCAATTTGAAAGTACATTACACAGGTAGGTTAATATTAACGAGATAACCGTCGCATCGTAATTTGTTTTGATGGATCATTTTATACTATGTTTTCTTTGCTGAGTTTGAATGCGATTTTCAATTCTTGGGAAAATGCTCTGTTTGGTAAATAATTAGGCCCCTAGGCTCGCACCGGCAACAATACTTTGTCTTTCGCAGTTATAAATCAGTAAGGCGGCCCAATCCACACTCGATTTTATCCTCCACTCGGTGTTTGTTGACGAGCTCCTCGGTTTGAGCAGCTTCTCACGTCTACACAAAACGTAAAATTATACCATATCATTGTAAGTTTTTTCTGTTTAATATGCTCGGGGGCAGCTAGGAAGTTAGGTAATGTTAGGTAGGTTTCTTTGGCTGCTTGTGTTTCTTATCAACTAAGGTTAGGTTAGGTTAGGTTAGGTTAGGTTTAATTTATAAATAACCCAATTTCAACACATTTTCCCAAACTATGACAGCGTCTGTTGCAAAACACAGTGAAATTGTGGCGTTTTTAAAATTCACTTTCTATGAAAATCGTCGATGGGTTTATCGTCAATAATTACCCACAGGTCTATCTACTGTACATCATCAACATGTGTAGTAATTTGTTTATTATATGTATCATTGCATTTGTTGTACTGTATGGCTTATAACTTAAAATACAGCTGCTTGGCCCATGCAGGGGTGGATCTATGGGGTCCGGACCCTCATTTTCATCAGAAAATTCCAATATTTTTCTTCAATGCAGTATTGTACTCAGGCGTTTTTGTATAGTTAAGTAATTTCTATTGACCTCAGAATACCTCCTAATACAAATTGCACATGGCTTGAAAATGCCCATGATATTGGTCAGATCTAAAACAATTTTCGAGGGGTTATAGACCCCCCCCCCCCTTCCCAATACTTGGGTGGACTCGCTGTGCTAGCCATGTTCCCCCACCCACAAAATCTTGGACCACTCCCCCCCCCGACTTTTTGATGTTTCTGGATCCTCCCCTGAATTATTGCAGATTCTTTTAATGACTGAAAATACAAAATTACACTAAAATGAGAGGGAAAATCTACCATGATGGAATACTTCAAAACTGTATTACTAATGACAATGAGTTATACTGAAGAAGGAAAGAAACAGTGATCTAACCATCCTGCCGTCTTCATTCTCTGGAGTGAGAAGTAGCAGAGGACCTCGCGCGTACAAGGAGTTATATCGTCGTCTGTAGCTTGCGATATAATCTAAAAACTCATCTTCTGCTACTTTGCTAGCTTTGTATCTAGCAGCTCCTTCACTTTCACACATTGAAGTAGTTTAGACTTACTGTACAAGTACATGCACAGTACAAATTACAGAAATTCACGAATGTCCGCTCGACTCGCTCGCCCGTTTCTATGACAACGACGCTACAACTCGTGGGCAACAACAGACCTATTACTCTTGTGTTTATCCTCTTCACAGGCTCGTTAGCCGCTTAGGCGGTCGGTCTGGTTTCTGTTACGAACTTACACAAGTACTGGGCTTGTACTAGTACATCAAAAGAAAAAAATATATATATTTTTGTGTAATATATGGTAATTTTATTAAACACGATTTTATAATATTCATAAAGAAATTTGTACCTAAACTTTTCTAGACGCTGGTGATAATTCACTTTAAAATAATCCACAACCATTAGTCCCCCTGTGGGTGAGATTAAACTTATGTGATTATACTCACAGATGATCTTCTGGAAGAGGCTCACGCCTGTGACTCCAGCTCAATAGCCTCTTCTCTACTCAGACGGTGGCTGTGTGTGGCGGATAATTGTGCCCTAAAATTATATACTTGTTCTTGATTTTTCCAGTATTTATCTAATTTTGCTTCAAACTTTTCCACCGTCTCCACATTCACTACCCATTCCAGTTGTTGACAACCCTACTCGGGAACAAATGTCTTCGAGATTTAGATTGAGATTTTTTCCCGATACTGAAAATTATTCCGTACGGTAATTGTGTCCTCGGATCGGAGAATGCCAGCAATAATTCTAAATTGCCCACTTGAGAAATATAAAGTAACGTGTTATCTCTCTAGCTCAAGTACAGGGATCTATAGTTTTTGTAGGTGTGGATCAAATTAGCCCCTAAATGATGCAAATTTTATATAAAAAAATATTGATATAATTTGGTATAATAACTTAGAATATCGGGGGCGGGTCCAGGAATATCAAAAGGGGAGGTCCAAGAAATTGTGCAAGCATAGATAGCCTACCCAGCTGGGAGGGTTTTAGGGAAGCCCCCCTCACCAGAATTTTTTGGGGGAAATCTGACCAATATTATGTGCATTTTGAAACCATGTGCACTTGATATTATGTGATATTCTGAGGTCAAAAGTAATTACATTTTGCTCTACAAAAACGACTGAGTAAACGACTGCATTTAAGAAAAAGTATTGCAACTTTCTGATGAAAAGGGGGTTGAGGTCCCTGTAGTGGACGTCTCCCATACAACTGCGTATCGCATTCCAATGTGCCGCCTCCCCTAGCAACCAAGCGAGAGCTGTCCCCAGATGTTACATATCTTAGCAACGGAACTAGTCACCGGCTACTTCTCGGGTTTTCCCACCATGACTCATAGCGGCTGCTGCGGGGTATATAAGCTATGTCTCTCCATTGAGATTCAGTCTGACCAATCTTCTTGAACAAGCAACACCTCCTCCTCTGCCGCTGCCTGGCGACCCTCGCCTCTCCTCCGCCTGCCTGGCCGTCCTCGCTCCCGCCAGCGAGCATGTCCTTCTCTGAGCTTCCTCACCAACCAACTCTCATTCTGCCCATTTTCCTGAACAAGCAACATCTCCTCCAGCAAGCTCCACGCTGTTAACATTTCATTCAACCAGGAGGCCAGCAACAGGCAACATCTTCTCTCACGAAGCTCCTGCACATCTACCTCCTTCAACAAGCAACTCACCGCACGTCTCTACCAAGCAGTCCCTCACCACACAGCACCTCCAGCACCAGACTGTCTTCATATAACTTATATATTATATAAGAAAACCACATTAGAGTTTCCATCCATCCTGAGTGCTAGACAACATTAATATCTCGATACCCCTACAATGGTGACTCCCGGAGATTAGCACTCACACAGGATGGAGGAGACACTGATCACGCTCCCAGTCTTCAAGCAGACACCGGCTCCTCTTCCTGCCTCACGCACCACATTCTGACGACCCCAGCACACCCGTCCTGCCTCAGACGCCGACCCCGGCCCAGCAGTACCTGCCGTGAGGGAAGCACACAACATCCATCGCCTCCACACCCCCTCTTTTCTCCCTCAGGTACTCCCTGCTTATGTCCTGCACCCTGCTGCTGTCGTGGACCCAGCTGCTGTCATGAGCCCTAACCCGCTTCTGCTGACCCAGCCCTTGCCCCTGATCCAGGCCCACACACACCCCAGCAGGCGCATCTGACGACCCTGTACCTGTCGTGAGGGAAGCACAACATCCATCGCCTCCACACACCCTTTTTCTCCCTTCTCCCACAGATAGTGTGTATCTAGACAGTTGTATTTCAGCGATCGGCTCATCACGCCATCGCCGTTGTCTCACATGAGGCATGCACCGCCCGGTCTTCCTCACATGTGCTAAGCAACTCTACAATCAACAAGTCTCCTACACCGCCTGGAGG